CCCCAAAACCCCAAAACCCCAAAACCCCATGCCTATTAAATTTGATGCAGATTAGTGAAATAATTTTTAATGCATAAAAGCCCTTTTAATCAGGATTCATTTAGCTCATTAAAATGATGACCTTTTGGATCAAATCTAGAGCATATCAACATGAAAGCTATCACAACTCCAATTAATGTTGAGACAAAGTAAACTAAACCTGAAAACATTGTAACTCTTGCCAAACCATCCATCGCTTAGTTTATTGCTTTAACACATGTTTAGGGAGGAGGACCTTAGCTAACCTCGGAAAATGTGAAGAATTTAGAATTTATACAGAATCCTGCACAGTTAAAATCTCTCTCTACCCCATCTAGCACAGATATTCCTAGTTTAAGTTCATCACCAGAATTACTAATATTTGCTGTAATAAATAATTAAAGCGTTGTTGATATTCCTTTGCATTCAGGAAAGTTGTGTGCACCTGTAGCTGAATATACAATACCATTATTAACTTAGCTGGTTGCAGAAGTAGCAGTGGAAGTTCCTGCATTAAGTACATTTTGGGTTGTTGATGCTTTTTAATCATTTTTAGGTGCTGAGTATTCATTCCAAAGCTTTGGATCTGCGGCACATGCACATGATGGACCACAAAGTTAAGCATTTCCTATTCCGTACAAAGCATCTACTTTAAAGATGTCGCTTGAAACATTTTTGCATTAAGAATCAAACTCTTGTGCTACTGCATCTCTTGCCATTGGTCCTCCTACTGAGAATGCTCCGAATATCAACAAGCAACACATTAGTAAGAATGTATAAATTATAGTAATGCATCTGTTGCTCATCTTTTTGATTACCAAAGATGTGAATGCTGCTACTCCAAATAAGAATAAAGATAAAAAGAAGGTAGCCCACATGACACCACTTTTCCCTTCGGCAGCTGCAATTGATTTGCTTTATCCTACCACGAAGTATCCATAATAAGAATAAAAGATCCCTGCAACCACTAATTCTATAGCTGTGAACATTAGTAGTAATCTTGCAAGATGATTTTAGGGCGTCCCTGGATAATGCATATTATTTTAATTTTATTTAACTATATTAATAAAAATTAATAATTTAAACGTCGGAAATGAGTTTGGAGATTTAACAATTCAATTCAAATCATTTTGACTCCGTTACAGTAACTGAGACAAAGTCAACGCAAGATTAGCAAAATCTGAGTATAAATCAACCTTCATAAAAGTAAAAAGATAATAATTTGTCTTTTTTCAAGTTCTAAGATGATAAGTAAGTAACATTAACTTTTTTTTTTGCCATCTTTTTTAAAAATTCTTAATAGCTTAATTGATCCACAGATACTAGTTAAAATTAAATTTCAGTAAATATCCGAGAGAAAAAGCTGGTAAGGTGTAAATGCCCTTTATTGCGGCATACCAGGTAAATTATTTATAAATTACGAACTTCAGGCACCACATCATTAAATCCAAAAGAAGGAATACTAATGTACTAGCAAGAAAAAGTAAATTTTTTAGATTCAACTTGATAGGATTATATTGAAGCATGCTTTAAAGTACTGAATATAATGAGAGAGATTTACGATTTAACTAACATTTCTAGTCATTAATTTTTTACTACCAATACATCAAATAGTGACGAGGAAAACAGATATTCTCTATCTAATCACAATTACATCAAGTTTAAATTTTAAGAATTTCTTGTTTCAAATAAAATTCTAAATTCTCCAACGGGTAATTAATCGCATTTTGAATATACTGAGCAAATGATTAAATTAATCAATCAGACTACAAATCATGGTACCTATTTCTCTTAGGCAACATAGAGAATTATCGATCATAATATAATCTAAAGACAATGTCTTTATAAAATGCTAAAGTGTGAGTCGAAATTAGTGAAGTTCCTTTTCGAACAAAACGGCTTAATTTCAACTGACAGACATGATTGGAATGTACTTTGGACTCATACGCAGGGAAAAACATACTTTTATGAAAGACTAACACAGTTCTAAAAAATCAATCACTTTCCTAATAGTACTGAAATTACAAAAAAAGATAGACTTGCTGTAAATGTAATCAAGATGTAGGATAGATATTCAAGAACCTATTTTAATTTTATACCTGAAACCTTTATATTACCAGACTAATTTGCTGAATTCTAAGAAAAATTTGAGCAACAAGAAGCTAGAATTAAATCATAATTTTAAAGTGGATTGGGACCTGGAGAGGGAAACATTAATTAAAGACCTATTAGGAAAAACTTTTGGATCATAAAGCCCACTTGCTCTTCAAGAGGGAGAGGAATTTACATAATAGATAACTTGAAATAAGTGCCAAGACATGAAAATCTAGTAATTAGTCGATATCTTGATAACCCTTTGTTACTTTATGGGCATAAATTTGATTTAAGAATATATGTAGTGGTAACTAGTTATGACCCTTTAAGGGTATATGTTTATCGTGAGGGGTTAGTTAGATTTGCAAGTGAAAAATATGATATTACTAAATTTAATGACGAGACTAAATATTCTCATTTGACGAACTATAGTATTAATAAGAAAAATGAGAACTATATTTAAAATGAGGTGAGATAAAACAATTTAATTATTTATAGAATGCTGATGAAGATGATAGTGGGTTTAAATGGAGCTTCAGTGCATTTAGTGAGCATATGTAAGATTAAGGAATCGATATCAACTTAATGTGGTCAAAGATATATGATGTTATTATCAAAAGTCTGTTATCGATTGATGATTGTGTGAAATAATAGATAAAAAAGTCTTAAGTCAATAGAAATAACTGCTATGAATTATTTGGTTACGATATCATTCTTGATAATAATCTAAAGTAAATTCTATTTATTATTAACTTATTAGCCCCTGGTTACTAGAAGTGAATCTGTCACCTTCTCTTGCTTTTGAAAGTCCCTTAGATTTAAAAATAAAAGGAAATCTGTTAAAAGATACTTTCAATCTTATAGGTGTTTAAATACCTCAAGATAGTATGATGAATCCACATCTCAAGAAAATAGATCAGAATAAGATGAATACAGAGAAATCAAGGAGGTAAACTCTCAGTTTAAATAGAACATTCTAAAAAGAAAATCCTAATGATAGGTATGAGAATGAAAACTCTGGTTTTACAGAGTAGATTATTCAAGAAATGCACAGTCAATTGAAAATGATGGATGATCTAAATTACTAATAAAAAGATTTTATTTGCTAGTATATTCAGCTACCTACAAAGTCAAAGGAATTTATAATAGAAAGTCTATTAGAATTCAAAAGAAGAGGAAACTTTATCAGGATTTTTCCAAATAAAAGTAATTTCTCAATTATTTATAAGTTTATATATAGACACTGACTTCTATGATTGCTTTATTAGTTCAAATAAGGGAAATTAGTAGATGCTTTATCAATTCATATAATCAGATCAGTATCTAGTTTTCAAAGATATCAAGAGATGCAATAACCTTTTTAAAAATATAAAGATCTAGAATTTGCCTCTAAAGCCAGTGAGAAACCTATCGACTAAGAATAAGATAGATTAAGTGTAACTAAAGAATCAAATTGAGAAAAAAAAGAAGGATTAAATAAAACTCATAATTTAGGTTCTGAAAAGATTTAAATTAGTCATTTGCTCGATAATCGAAGATGAATTAGAACACGATGTAGATATTGAAATTGTTTAGAAAATGGCATTGTTTTTCACTAATAAACAAGTATTTAATTTGGAAGAATTAGACTTTTAGTTAGATCTTGATAGTATAAAATTAAAACACATCTATAGCTTAATTGATAGTCTGTACAAAATATTTAGCCAAAGCATAAAACCTAAATCAAAAAGTGGAAATCATCCAAATGTTTTAAGACAATCAGGAAAGAATATTCTTAATTCAAACGTAAGATCTTAAACGAATTTAGCACAAAATAGTGATGAATTCGATAGTATTGATAATGAATAATTATTGACACAGATTATTAAATAAACTTTGGATAAAGTTGAGAATGATAAACATGATGAGATCAAATTTTTTCTAGAAAAAAATATGTTCACAACTAGGGAAAATGAGAAGATTAGTATCCTTGATAGCTTAATATTTGTTTCAAGTGTGATAAAATAAAACCATCTTCCAAAGCTTAAGATCTAGGTCGATGATTAGAGTAATACAAATGATTTATATAGTTACTACTAGAACAAAATTAATTAAAATTCACATAGGCACAAAACGACTAAGTCAGTGCCAAAATAGAATGAAGTTTTGGTTACTAGCGTGAAAGGTTCTGATTCTATCATGTCAAAAATTAAAACAAAAGGAGTATCTGAACCATAATTACTCTTAGGCTCTAAAAATTTCATCAAATCAGATTATCTAAGCAAATAAATGGACAAGAGAGGATCTTTGTAACCACCATCAAATAGGAACAAATAGGATGATCATGATTATGAAGGATTCTAAACAGCAGATAATAGAGTGTAGATTACAAGCAAAGAAGAATAAAATTCTTGCATTAGGATACTATAGTAAATTATTGAGGAGAAGAAAGGATAATTTATGGGAGGATCTTCTTAGAATTTCTTTAGACAAAGATACAGTAAAGATCAAGTAGTAAATGTAAGTAACAAAATAATATAGAAGGAGCTTTTGGAATTGTCGACATTGCAGAGTGCAAAAAATAATCCAGCAGAGCTTAGAGATGCAATAAATTTCTTCAATACAACCCTAAGCACTGTAAAATATGGTAAATATGGTAATTACTAGCAGAGTAATTCTCAGAATGTGACTAAGAGTCGAATTAGAAAAAATGAGCTGAACCATTCAAGCCAATCAAATAGGAATAATAAAAGTTTTTCTAACGGAAGTAAGGTGAAGTAATACATAGAAACTGATAACTAGAAAAGCAATCCAGGGCAGATATATGAAATTTATGGGCCCTCAACTAATGCCAGTCGGCTTGTGAACTAAAAATTTAACAATATGGTGAATAACAATCAAAGTTTGAAAAACATATATACTGAAAGCCTAAAAGCTAGATTAGTAACTATGAATAGAGATAGCTAAAACAAGATAAGAATAAATGAGAAGTAGAAAGTCACAAATAATTAATAGCAATAGTCCCAATATTAATGAAGAATAAGATACAACCTGTTCAGTACTATTATAAACATTTGAAGCCAAATTAAACTACTTTAAATTTGATATTATGAATTATTTTAAAATTAAAAAATTTTCTAATAATTTAATAACGGGGTTTTGGGGTTTTGGGGTTTTGGGG